AGGACAGCAGTCCGTTACATCGCTGACTCACGATAAGACCACCAGGATTCGCGGTTTTTCAGGCTAGTACAAACTAGTAGCCTGTTGTCTTGGCGAGTCTCATTGTGTTCGCTTCCAGCCGGAATGTGCAAGCGGGAGACTGCGAAGAGACCCAATGTCCAGGTTGGCTACCAGATTCACTATAGGAGGATTTTCCTGCTGCTAATAAGGTCTTGTAAACATGCGATCAGCGAACGCTTACTCAACTCGTAACCTAAAAGTAACGAGCTTGCTTTGTAATCTGATGGCGCGGGTTCGAACCTGGGTAGGCGCAGGGTGACCCTCAATATCATTAGCCCACGTGCAACCGGTGGTGGTTGCGCGGAAGCGAAGCGTCGGTACTACGTACCGGCGTACTGCTGATGCCTCTCTCTCTATGCAGCGTAATTCGATAAACATTCAAAACATCTGGTTTCACCAATTGGTTGTTGTCTGTGTTCACAGCGCCGTCGCGGGCAACCGCCAAAGCGCACCCGCAGATCAACACATACGAGTGCGTTGTCAGTGTCCACACAGGTGCTCCAAATCGAGCGACAGTCTTGTAAGTAGCCTCCCCAGTGGTAACTAATCGCAATGTGGTCGATTTGCGTCCATGGCTAGTGGGCGCCTTGTCACCCTCCAGCGGGTGCTGTTTTAGAAGTTATTGCTCGCAAGAAATAAGCAAACATCCCCACACAAGTGAAGTAACAGCTCCATGTTGTCATTATGGGAGCCTACACCACGTTGGCAGCCCAGATGAAGCTCATCAGTGGACAATTTTCCAACTTGAGCATCCAAATCCTAACCTAGTGTCCGTGTTAATTCTGGGACGAAGAAGCTCGTTCAGTTGGCGAGAGAAGTCGTGTTTCACTGAGTCTGTACTACCGTTTATGGGCGCGTAGGCAGCGATGACAGGCAAAGAGAAACTCCGTGCGACTTGAAAGTTTTGAACGAGCCAGCCAGTCGGATTGCGGTTCATTTAGATGAGCTCACGACAGTAGCCTACAGCTCTCGCCGCTTCCATTTCTTGAGCCCTTTTAGTCTATCGGGTTTGCTTGTTAGCACTAGCCTCTGCTTTAGTTGGCGCCTAATAGTCCACCTAGTAAAAGTAAAAAGTAAATCGTCAGCTGCACGCCATAAAGGCGCTTCGCTGCCGCGCGTGAGCTGGGTATGCCGTGAGGACGGACTTCCTCACGTGGATTCCAGTCGATGGCCTTAGGATTGCAAGCCAGGCGTGTAGACCACGGGCCGGTTATATTGTGTTCAGCCGCGAGTATTCTGCATTCCAATAAGTTCACCAACCCTACTGCAGTGACGATTGACTGCGCTACAAGCAGAGGCACCCGCATCGTGTATGGTAGCAGAGACCCAATTCCATTGAAGCTCAATGGCATTAAGATGAGACAGTGAAAATTCGGTAAATAGGGCACTCTGGTAGGTCTGTCTACTGAGGACTGAGATAGCTTCTCAATCGCCAATGGAGAGGGTCGTTGGGACCTCGCCCGGTAAAGTTTATGAAAAAACAACAGCGTACCAGGACATGATCAGTTGACGCACGCATTCCAAAACGAGCGACAATCCAAGATATAACCATAACACCCGTAACTTATGGCAACCTAATCTACCTGGGTCCATCGCTGGTCAGTTATAGCGGGATAGCAAGTAGCATTTCGGCGCCTAGTGTCTAAGAGCGATACTAGTAAGAAACAGCCGGCGCTCTGCGCAGTTGCAATAGCGCTGGCCGTTGTTCGTACGGTCAGAGTTAAGTCCATGCTTACTACTGAACAGTTCAGACGACGTAGTTGCGCATTTATATTCCATGCAACAACGATATCTGGATTGGGAACACTGTGAAGCAGTGTGTTGTTGGTGGTGTCCATGGCAGCATAAGGACTGTAGTTAGTGGGGGTATAAGGAGCGATCACAAACTAACAGCATGTAGTACTACTTCGTAAACCAATCTTAGTTGATGTCGTCAATCGGGCTTCATACAAACGGCTGACCACGGAAATCCAACCAACCAAGGATGACGACATTGGAGCTGAGAACGATGCCCACCACAAGTTGATCAGTGATCGTCGCATCAGTGTCTCCTGATGCATGTAACCAATAGTGAGAGAACAAGCCAGGTGAAGTTAATGCAACAACTCCGTGAGGGTAATTGATCCTAGTTTCGGATATGACACACGTTAATACCCAGGGTTTTAATGTGCATGCGAGTATAGGCTGTTAACTTATTTGTCTTAGAGTACGAACGTCTAACACCACCACGGAAACGAGACAGTGGCTTTATAAAAGGCTGTGGCTGATAGGCGTCTAGTGTGTGGTGCGGGAAGGTAGCTACAGACGGTTTGTCTCCAACGATATTGCGGATTCTTTCGATTAAGTTGGGTATTATAGTGGAAAGGTTAGCAAGGAGTTGCGAGCGTAGTAAAAGAAACAGGTGGGGAAGGCGTCAGCAGTGCGTGGCAGGTAAGTCGACTCTTGATAAGATGTGCGACGGTCGGATGTAATTGAAGTTTGGGAAAAGTCATGGTGTATGTGGACTGAGATATTGCCAGGGCGCTCAGAACGATTGTCACCCACCAAAGCTTTTGGCTTAAAAACTTATCCACAAGGCAGCGGGGATGTGGCAGTGATTTGGTTGTATAGAAATGGGCGCTATCCAATTTCCAACACCTATTGGGCAGGAGACTGAGCTTGTCTGATCTCTAACTACTGACCAATCTGGTAGGAGTAGCTCTCGAAAGGTTCGGCAGCACCGTCCAGTAAAGCTCAATGGGTAGAAGAGGTACGAAAACTGTCGCACTACGTCAAGGTCCAGTCTCGTTGCGACAGCCGCTAGCCAGTGAATAGGTAGGTAGCGTTTCGCGTTCCTCCGTAGTAGAGAGCATCAAGGGTTTGATACGCCAACTGGAACGGTCCTCAGTCCAATTAGCTTCCTAACAGCAACGCACATATTAAACCTTGAAGGTCGTCCAACATGCCTTCAGCAGATATGACGGCAGTTGATAGAACCGTGTTATAGGATACATAACATTGCTGTCTACGTAAAAATCACTGCGACGGGGCATTTATTCCACAAACTTGTGAATTCACACTACTAATACACGGCTTTATCACTGGGGACGACGCTGAAAAAACTGCAGTATTTTAAGATAATCCCTTTGTTTTAGCATTTTTTGAGTTTTTCAGCCTGACGGGGAGATCACGGGTTGCTCATTCTCCACTTTTTCGTTTGTCTAACGAGTGAAAGGGCACGTGACTCAAAATCCTATTGCGCGGAACAAAATATACCACCAAAACCTGCTACAACGATGTTAGCTGCAACGACCGGCACCCAATAATGACAAAGAATGTCGGATGGGGTTGTTCCTGCACAAAAGACTTGGCTCAACATGTGGTGACGGTACCTTTTGCTTTTTATCCAGTGTCTTCGCAGATGAATTAAGTAATTTCTTAGTCCTCTTTCGTTGAAAAGTGGCGCGTACAGGGACCGGCAATCCAGCATCGTTCCGCGCACAACTGAAAAAAGTCAATAGCAGCTTAGTAACTCTGAAACACCTTAACAGGAGCGTTTGACACAAGGGCAGGCACTACCGCCGATCGACAGCTGTTCTGCACAGTCAGCTTCATCAGGCCGACATTACTGGAGACTGTAAACTTATGGTCAGCAGTGCTGATTGCTGTCAATCGATGCTCTAAACTACAGTCTGGAATAAGGAACCTCGAAGTCTACTGAGAAAATCCGGACGACCATGGCATCCATAACTGATGCAGCTAAAAAACAAACTGTCGCTGGTAGGCAGCACTGAGTATTCCTCAGCAGAAGGTTGCTGGTGGAATCAGCATTTGTAATCATCACACTGTATGCTGCCAGAATAGTCTTTGGTATAGCACAGCAAGTACTGCCACAAGTGGCAGTAGACTCAAAGAGGGCCAAAGGGGTAGATCCGCGTCGATCATAGCTAGACGCATGATAAAGTTATCATAAGTATAACACGTACAAAGAAGTAAAGCGGCGAACAGCAATAAGGTAGAACCGGGTGCAAAAGAGCAATAATATTTAGAGAGTAAATAGTATCAGCAGGTGTCAACGAAGCGTTTGGGCCATTGACATTTTAGCCGACAAGAAATACGCCAGCAATAAATCAGTACACGGAAACGACGCTTCGCTGCCACGTAACAACAACGCAGTCGCGCGTGAACTAAGGATACTGCGAGGGTTGACCGTTTCCCTACCCAGGAGAAAACCCGCAATCTTCGGGTTGCAAGGACACGCCTTATCTTTTCGGCCACGGGCCAGCACCAATCGATAGAAATTATGACGCCAAAAATTTGAGTTACTGCGTCAAAAAAACTACCAGCACAGAAGTTCTCGACAAAGACAAGCTACATCGCGAGAAACCGCAGACAAATTTTAGTGAGTATCCGAGAATGGTTAGATGTAATTTGAGATAATGGAGCCAATTTTAATAAGTGTGATAACAGTTAAAAATTGCATGATACTCCAGAGTACGTACGCTCGGGTTGAAAATGGGTTAACTCGTATTTGGAAGTTAACACCAAGACTGGAAGTGGAATAATTAGAAAGAAACCAGCATGAATGAAATGCGTCAGGTGAAATAAATTCATTTCTTAAGAAAGGGAAGGCGAAGGATACTGCCGGATAAACCAATGGATGCGTGAGGGATAGTAAATCGCCAGAACCGAAAGTCTGTGTTGCCGAACCATATGTTAAATGCCTTGAAAAAGTGTGTTAAGTCATGATACAATGCAACGACGATAACTAAGCGATCGTTAGTATGGATAGGGCAAAATGTTGTGATCCTATAGAGCCCATATCGTGCACTGACTAATATGCACGGGTGGAATAGCTAAACATATGCGAGAAAAGTAATAATCAACAGTTTTACGAAGAATTCCGTTTTACTATGTGTAGTGAGTAGCGAAAACCGTAAAGCAACTGAACAGCATATTACTTTTTAGCTTAGTGCAATATTCCTTCGGTCCGGTGTTGAGCTGTAGTGCGACAAGTAGCGCGACAAGTTGCAACGCAAAATAAATACCTCGTAGACGGCTGTACGCTCGAGCCGCCTAGTAAGAGGCCGATGTAAAAGTGGCAGCTAAGGAAGCACGGAAGAAAGAAGGAAAAGTGCCGGAGAGGAATAGGAATGTAAGGATAAGAGGAAGCGAAACCGATCGACCCCTTACCTGTTGACGTGTAACCGTGACGCCCAAGGGCCGGCTACACTAATAGACCAAAAGTAGCAGACCATTTGATTGCGCAATTGCGGGCCCATTTGATTTTCCGTTACCTCATGAGTTGTAGTGCAGCCTTCCTGCATCCACTAACCTCGCGCCATTGGTGAAATACACCCCCACCCAAAAAAATGGCGGACGTCGTAAGTGGACGGCCTGATAAAAGTATGGAGCAACAGTCCGAGTCCCATCAACGTGCTCCTATGTTTCAAAATAAAACCCTAAAAACCTTAAAATTTATTTATTAAGAGTTGAATACACTTATATTAAAAACAATGCTATCTTAGGTGTTTGAAAGCTTGCATGCTGTTTAATTCAGGTTCAAGTTCGGCTAGCATAACGAAGAGAACAAAAGCTGCTGTGTGAGTAACACTGTGCTTGGTTTAACTTGGATGCCAATTATGTCCATGGAAGTTCTTAGCTAGTTTGATTTCAAGTAAAAATTCAATTGGGATCGAACAGTAGGAAGAGCCAGTGATTGTTCCAATTTCGAAATCGTCCTTCAGCTAACATGGGATGGATAAATTGATCATTCAAAGGATAGCTAGGTTAATACACACCATGCACCTGGTTAACTAAACAGTGTCCACGTGCCCAGTCTTAGCGTTCTTTGCTGAAACGGTCACGTGTATAAAAGAAAACTGCAAGAACTATCAGGAAAGAAAAGGTTACCAACTTACATAAGTAATAATGCGATGCCAGTAAACTGAATTTAGGAGACCAGTAAAATCATATGTCACTATGACGAATGTTTTAGACTTCCGACCTTGGGCATCAAGTCGATGTTTAAACTTGTTCACCGTCGGTGCCATTACGACTTTTGCGGACAACGCGTTTTAATAACCTATGCCCTTACATGAGAACAGAAAATCTACCCCAACCCGGTTAGATCGTGGTTTGTGCAGCTTCATCGGGTAATCACGAAGGGATGGCACGCGAGTTGTGTGTGTGACTGAGCAAATGTTTGCTACCGACATGACCTGTGTGTTAACATGATCATTTCGCTACAAACGGAGGCGGAAGATAGCCTTGGGTCCTCGCTTGAGAAGTCCAATGCAACTCGTGGCAATTCTGCCTGTTCAAGGCCAATTACTTACTCCTCTTGTGGTATGCAACGTGATGTTTTCTCCCGCTAGAATCACGAAGTTGTACCTGCCTCCGAGGCAATCAGTACAACATGCTATCATCTAGGGAACTTTCTGTTTAGATGTGTTGATTCTTGCGCGCACAAAGCGAAGCTCCCTGCTTACCTTTTGTTGAATTCAAAGCACTAGCAGCCAGGTTCATAGTTGTTTAGAAGGCGTTAGCCGAGCTTGCCTCGCTTGCATTGCTCAACACTAATGTGGAATTGTTTATGAAATCCTTGCTTACTGCGAAGGTGGACGCTATAGCGGACTGTCCCTCTGCTGACATTCCACCCATTGAGGAGGCACCTATCCTACCGGACGCTCTTGTTCACATGGAGATAACTGACACCTATGCCTCGGACGGCACTGTTGATCTTCCCCAAATTGAAGGCAAGTCAAGGGCTTCGGGAACAGGAAAAAAAGCGTTATATGGCAAGGAAAGCGTGCAAACCATCCTCCCCAAACCGGGTGATAAACCGTTCAAGAGGAAAGCGCCTGAGCTGGAAGCACCACCTGGTGCTGCAATTCTCTCAGTGAGACTTGAGGTGCCGTCGCCTTCGGTCAAACCGACTCCTGTCAAACAGTCGTGTGGCATGGATGCTAGGGCATGCGTGGTAAATACACATTGTCAGGGCGATTCTTACACAAATAGCTGTGTGCTATTCAGTAACCTCACCACTCCGCTTTTCCTACCGAGCGCATGCTAGCTGATGTTGTTTGACTTAAGGTTTGCATGACCAGGCTTTTACCACCAGGTTTCACTGGCGTTCCTGTCAGGAAGTCCATCGGGCTGCGAAACCTTCCAGGAGGTCAACCAAAACCTCGACCCCGCCTGTTTAGAGTGGTTCTCTCCACGCCAGAATAGCGCAGGGCGTTACGGCGACTTGCCTTCAAGCTCAAATGTACCAACAATAGTGCACAACCAAGCATTCCGTCGGCGGATAGGTTTAAGTTAAATGTAGCCATTAGAGAACTAAAAGCCCGGCGTGCAGCTGGCGCGCAGTGTCTCCCAATGGTGGTTTTTCAGTTGGTCAGCCGGCGGTCCTGTCCCATCCTACCAGAGCCCAAGCTATGTGCGCACAATCAAGGGCTGGTCGTCCCGAAGTCATCCATATAGTATTAGTAACGTGCGTAGACTGAGGTACAAGAGATGCGAAGGGGGTTCGCCAGTTGACAAAATTCCTCCAGGTATACGCGCTTTCATTGAAAAACGTCTGTCTGAGGAAATTACAGATGGTAAAGTACATCTACCTGGCTACACACTGTTTCGAGCTGACTGCCTCACTGGTCATCAAGGGGGCGGTGCAGCCATTTATGTGAGGTATCACCCCGAAGTATTTAGGACCAGCGTTTTTCATTCTCTGGACAGATTTGTTGAGGCTCTCGCAGTCTTAGTTTGCGTTCCCTCGGCTCATGTTACGGTCGTTTTGTGTATAGAAGGTCCAAGCGCACCTCCAATGGAACCATGGGCTTATACGCCCTCACTGCGTACAAGTGTCCGGTGCTGGGAGACTTAAACCTCCCAGAGGCTTATTGGGTTGATCTATCGTTCAGTGCGGCGCTGGGATCATTCGGTGCTGAAATGTTGGACTTGCTGATGCAGGTAACACACCACCAGTTCGTTGAGCTCCCCACTACGTACATGAGGAATCTACAGCCGTTCATTTTTGATCTTGTTTTTGCTGTCGTTTGACTTTTTAAGTGGTATGACTTAAGACTCGCTCCTTGTCGCCGGCGAGCAAATTTGCTTGTCTTTCCAGTGTACCCTTAACGGGTCTTGCCAAGCTTTTACCAGTTGGTATCCCAACATTTGGGCCGCGACCTACCAAGCGAAGCTGGATAAATTTAAGTCATCGCTTTGTGTTCACATAGCCTATGAAAAGCTTAAGGCTCACCACGTCGACATATCTGCACCTCACTTCCCACTGGGGAAAAGCAAGGAATTGAGGGAGCAGCCTCAGTGGTTAGATACTGTGGGGAACTGCCTGCTAAAGGGGCGGTCTAGATGCTGGCGACCGTATAGATAGCTCCGTCGAACAGCAAGCTTGACGGGTGTGGGTTGGTTCGAAACGGGTGTAAACTGCATCCTAGACTGGTCCAGCTTCAATATGAAAATGGCTTAGCTGCTACTGATTCGACAACTCCCAGAAATGCGTTGCCAACGTTTAAAGAGGTTGTGGTGGTAACTCGCCTGTACCACCGTTGCTATGAGGAAATGGGGCCCTGTCCATAGTGGCAATGACAAGGCGTGCTTGCTTGGCGAGCAGTACTCAGGAGTGGTAGTGCGAAACAAAAACGGCATGCAGAGAACTAGCTTTAACCGTCTCTAAAGACACTTGTCTGGATGAAATTACTGTAACTGGGTCTCAAGTTCGCCGGTTGCTGAGAGAAGTTAACCCAAGTAAGGCTTCCGGGCCAGGGCCTGTTCATCCGAACTTGCTGCACGAACCGACAGTGGAAATCAGTGGGCCACTGACTTGTGTGTTGCAGAAGTCACTCAACCGTTGTGTCTTACCTACCGAACAGAAGGGGACTGTTGTCAGCTCGGCTTTCAAGTGCAGTGACAAAGACCTACCGGCTAATTACAGGCCTCGCAAGTTGACCGACGTGGTCATTAAATAACATGAAACCTTAGTACGAGGTACAGTGTAGAACAATTTGAATAGTTTTAACCTGCTTAGCGTCGATCAGCCTGGTTTTCGTAAAGGTTGTCGTGTTAAACGAACTTGCTCTCAGGTCTTGAGAGCTGGACTGAAGTTGTAGACACTGGCCATACGGTGGATGTGGCGTTCATTGGCTTCGCCAAGGCCTTTGACACTGTCCCCCATTCGCGACTCTCACATAAGATGAGATCTTATGGGATATCTTGTCATGGTTCCGAGTGGAGGTCAGCTTTTCTGGTTGGACGGGAACAGTATATTCCTGTGGGAAGCAGTCTTTCGGTTCAACATGCTTCCCTAATGGCGTTCCGCAATGCTCAGTTCTAAGTCCGCCGCTGTACTCAGTCTACGTGAGCGAGTTGTCCGGGAGCTCGAGCTACCGTCGCTATAACTAGCTGATGACCTAGAGATCTGGAATAGCCTTGATATCCTTGGATGTCCCATGGCTCTGCAACGAGCTCTAGATAGAAGCTGTGAATGGTCTGTTTTGTAGTTGCTGCTTATAAACCGGGCAATTTGTTCGGTACTGTGTATCGGAGCGTCTGATTCCGTCGCAAGTTATCTGCTCGATGGGAGTGAACGTCCACACGTGACTCAGCAGTTTGAGCGAGGTGCCGTCCACTGTTCCACACTAAATTCTAGAGGCAACTGGAAGAAGGCGGCTAGTGAAGGCTTCCGGAGGTTAAATAAATAAGTAAATAGTATATTCTCGAATTGGTCGAGAGTCACTAAACCAAGCGTGATCAATATTTACATGCAATTATGTTTCGCAACAAACAAGTTGCTATGTATGTAATCAGCAGAAAGCCGAAAGTTGTGCAAACTTGGGAAATTGTAACTTTAAGCATGAGGAATAAAGTCGTCAATGCATGACGACATCTTGGGTTCTAGCGTGGTAATGTAAACAGTCAGGGCACTACATGTGTAGTGAAAACGATACATGGTGGCAGGGAATATCTTAGTCTTGAAGGTGTCACGAAAATATTAGATCATGATTCTAATCGACTTGCCAGTATGAAGTTGTGGGCGGTGACTTTATTCAGTGGCGGGTCACATCCGCCACGTCGCAGTGTTTTTAAGCGGACATCTGTGGCTTTTTATAGGAAGAACACCTGCCAGGCGAAAACCC